GATATGACCATTCTCTGTAAACCCAGAGAAGACCCTTCTCTGTAAACCTAGAGATGACCATTTTCTGTAATTGCAGATATGACCATCTTTTGTAAACCTAAAGATGACCACTCTCTGTAAACCTAGAGATGACTACTCTCCGTAAACCAAGAGATGGCCATTCTCTGTAATTCTAGAGATGACCATTCTCTATAAACCTAGAGATGACCACTCTCTGTGAACCTACAGGTGACCACTCTCTGTAAACAGAGATGACCATTCTCTGTAAACTTAGAAATGACCATTCTCTGTAAACCTAGAGATGACTATTTTCTGTAAACCTAGAGATAACCACTTTCTGTAAACCTTGAGATAGCCACTCTCTGTAAACCCAAAGATGACCATTCTCTGTAAATTTTGATATGACCATTCTCTGTAAACCGCAAGATGACCATGCTCTGTAAACCTAGAAATAACAATTTTCTGTAAACCTAGAGATGACCATTCTCTGAAAACCTAGATGTTACCATTCTCTGTAAACAAAGGTATGACATTCTCTGTAAACCTAGAGATAACCACTTACTTTAAACCTAGAAATTACCACTCTATATAAACCCAAAGATTTCCATTCTCTGTAAATTTATATTAGACCATTCTCTGTAAACCCAGAGATGACCATTCTCTGTAAATCTAGATATGACCATGCTCTGTAAACCTAGAGATGACCATTTTCTGTAATTGCAGATATGACAATTATTTGTAATCCTAGAGATAACCATTCTCTGTAAACCTACAGATGACATACAATCTCTGTAAACTTATAGATGACCACTCTCTATTATCCTAGAAATGACAACTCTCTCTAAACAAAGATGGCCATTCTGTGTAAACCTAGAGTTGACCATTCTCTGAAAACCTAGTAATTACCATTCACTGTAAACCTAAAGGTGACAATTCTCAGTAAACCTAGAGATGACCAACAAAGTCCATGCTCAATAATCCAGGTATACAATCCAACATTTTTCAGTGAGGTGATCTGGACAGTTTATTTTTTGTGCTGAAACGTTTCGCCTTCAATCCGGAAGGCTTCATCGGTCAAGGAAACACACAACAAAACTGATTCTTCCCCCAACAGCTTACTCCAAAGTGGAACAAACCAGTTCTGCTTGTGATAAGATTGTCTCTTTGGTACGCCCCTCCTCCATTGCCGGCCGGCCCTCTTCCTTGTTGACAGTCTTGTCAAACTGTCCAGATGACCTGACTGAAAAATGTTGGACTAGAGATGACCACTTACTGTAAACCTAAAGATGACCACTCTCTGTAAACCTAGAAATGACCAATCTCTGTAATCATAGAGATGATCATTCTCTGTAAACCTAGAGAAGAACATTCTCTGTAAACCTAGATATGACCATTCTCAGTAAACCTAGAGATAACCACTCTCTGTAAACCTAGAGTTGGCCATTCTCTGTAAACCCACATACGACCAGAGGTGCAGAAAAAATTTTGATATACTAAAGAATCTAGATTCTTAGTGATTCTGAATCGATTCTAAAGGCCCATAAATTCATTTAAAAATGTGTTTATGTTTTTTTTTTCCTCTCTTACTCCCGAACGTACTGCATATTGCATTATGTGTCCGCTCAGTCGCAGTAGAATTTGGCAGTGTAGGCCACCGTACGGTAAGCTAGTTAGCCAGCTCTCTTTATCTGAATGGAGTCTTCTAGCATAGAGCAGGAGGACAGCGTGATTCAACCCGCTTCTTCGTCTTTAAAAATTATTTCAGATTCTACAATGTTCCGGGTGAAGACAACTTGACAAGAGCATGGTTGTTTACAATAGGTGTAAAATGAAATTGCTTTACAGTATTTTGGAAATACGACAAAATGCGCAGAAGATGAAAGCAAAAGCAGCAAACCAGCAAGCTCTGCAACAAACTTTCAGGCTTCCCCAAAGGCTGTGAAGATTTCCTACTCCCATCTCCTGCTATATCACAAAGGATTTACGAGCAAACAGCTTAGTCGAAGGTGACAGGTTCAGGTTTATTTTTAATACACTGGATCCAACGTACGTTATTCCTTCACATAGTTTTTTTAGTGATAAAACTGTGCCACAACTCCACCATGAAACAAAGAACAACGTGGGAGAAGCTCTTAATAATGTTACCAGCTGC